GTACCGCCGCCCCGCCGCAGCCTGCTGAGAAGGCGAGCCTGGCGCGCGGGGGAGGGATGGCGGAGGAGCACTAGGCTCCTCCCGCGGGGAGGGGGGCGCCCCAATCTCTCCGCCTGCGCCGGGCTCGGCACCCCGCTGTCTGCACTCCTCCCCGGCACAGCGCCACCGCCCGCCCTCCCTCCCCGCCGGCCTCGGCAGCTAGCACGCGTGCTTCCGCCCCACTTGGGGCACGGGGGACCCTCCCGGGGCACCCCGCGCCTCACCTCGCCTCAGCACCACACTACTCCCCTGCCCCGGCCCTAACTCGTCCGCGGCACCGTTTCGCTCGCAGCCCTTTCTCGGTCCGCGGCAGCCGCTCTGCCCCGCGCTTTCGTCCCGCACCCGGGCTGGGGAACCACTGTGCAGTCCGCCGGCCCGCCCCGAGCACGCGAGGCAGCCGGGCTCCCCGCTACGCGGCGGGGAGGAGCCGGGCTCTCAGCGAGGAGTGGGGACAGGCAGGACACTGTGGAGACCCCAGCGGGGGCGGAGCGGGGGGATTAGTTATGAAAGCCGCCCCCTCCTCATCTGCAAAGGCGCGGGTCTCCCCACCACCCTCGCTTCGCTCCCACCTACGCAGCTTTCCCTCCTCCAGTTCTTTCTCCCGTCCTGCCTCCCCGCCTAAGCCGTCTTACTTCCACTTTCTCTATGAGGTTGTAAACTCAGGCTTTGTGTCGCTGCCGCTGCGCAGCGGGGCGGGATTTCCCTCCCACCCCCCCCACCCCAAGCCCCTCCCCCTGGCCCCCTCCTCCGCGCATCTCCCAGAGCATCCTGGGAGTTGTAGTCCAACCGTGCCCCCGTTCCGCCTCGTACTGCGGGCTGGGAGCTCCCCCATTCGCCCGGACGGGGTTTGCCCAAAGGGTTGAAGGAGGAAGCGGCTGAGACCGCTGCGCCGAACCGCGGTTCTCGGCTCCGGCTGGATGTGGTGGCCGGGAGTGCTCCGTAGATTCCCGCGGTGAGAAATGTGAGGAGGATAAATGAGGCAAAGCCCTGAATGCTGGGAGCCTTGCCTAGGACTCAAAATTTATGCTCCAGGAAACCCTCTACCCTCTCGGCTCCTAGTTTGGAACTGGAATTTGTGAAACTTCAAAAATTAAATATAAAACCTGAATCTCGAATTGCCACGAGACCGGGCATCCCAACCCCCACCTCAGCCGGTTTGCACCGCCCTGTTGGCTTGCCCCGAGGCTGCTGGAGAAGAACTTTCAGATTCCTCTATAAAAGTAAAGATGAAATAAGTAGAGAGTTGAGAAACATTTACACGAGCCTCCTGCCGCGCCACATTCTCCTGCCAGTTTCGAGCTGGGTTCAGGGTCAAGCTACACCACAGGCCTCCCCTCAGGTCGTGAAGGGCCTTTGCTGCTGGGCACAGGCGCTTCTTTTCCTCTCTGGGGTTTAGATTTATTTCAACAAATCTTTACGGGGCATTTTCTTTGTACCAGGCACTGTGCGAGGGGCTGGACACGGTGACTACTTAAAAGACCTCCCCAACAGGGTGGTTGCAATCTAATGGGGGGTGGGGGGGATAGCGACAGGCAAAAACCACGTTTGAAAGTAATGACTGCTAGAGTAGAGACTCCCAAGTCCTGAGGGAAATTCAGCAGAGCGATACTGCATCCCAAAAGGGGCTGGGGAAGCTTTCCTGAAGGCTCTGGAGATTGAACTGGACCTTGCAACGTGGGAAGGTTGTAGAGGGTGTGACCGAAGGAGCCCAGTGGGCAAAGTCCAGGCCGAGGGAGAGGTCGGTGAGAGGTCGGTGAGAAGGCGCAGTGCAAGCTAAGAAAAAGAACACATCGTCTTGGCAGACGCCCGGGATGTGTGGGTGGGGCGGCCCAAATGAACGTTAAAACCCAACAGGATCTTCAGAAACACCCTCTGAAGTTCGAACTTGATTCTGTGAGCAATGAGTAGCCCATCCCCAATGAAGTGCCAATGCAGGAGACTTAAGGTACGTTCCCAAATAGTCTTAATTGCCAAGAAGTAATACGATTGGAAACATTCGCAATTCTTTCCCTATTACGGTTCCTTCTGTTTGTTCACACTCGAGGCTATATCTAATGATTTTTAAGATTTATGTTAGATGTATATTAATCAGATATTAGGATATTTATTTTATTGGCAAAATGGATCTAAGGTTTTGTTCTGTACTATTTCAAAGATTTATTTTCGAATAGAGTTTATTTTCTGGCTTTACTTTATTGAACACAGCAACTAATATAATTTAATTCACTACTTATTTGTTGAACACCTACTATGTGGCAGGCACTTTTCTAGATACTGAAATTTGGAGGTGGAAGCAGTGATTATCATTTGTTCTAGGAATAAGTATAGAATTCTTATCAATAAAATACATCCTTATCAATAAAATAGGTAATGGAAAATGAATTTAGATGTTGGAGATGCAAGTACTTACTAGTAAATAATAAGTAATATCTTTCCATATACAATTTTGTTAAACAAAAGGAAAAAATGTACTTACAGATCCAAACAGATCAACTTCTAAAAAAAATTTTTTTTTCTTTTTTTAAGTAATCTCTACACCCAATGTTGGGGGGGTTCAAACTCACGACCGGGAGATCAAGAGTCACAAGCTCCACCGGCTGAGCCAGCCAGGTGTCTCTCAAACTGATCAACTTTTAAAAAAACTAGAGAATTAGGGGCACCTGGCTGGCTTAGCCCATAGAGCAAGTGACTCTTGATCTCCGGGGCATGAATTTGGAACGCCCCCCAACACTGGGTGTAGAGAATACTTAAAAAAAGAAAAAAATTTAAAAATTAAAAATTAAAGAACTAGAAATTATTTTGCAGTATTCTCTCACACACCATTGTGTATTATGTCACATGCCATTGCTATGTAGTCCAGCTTAAAAGCAAGGCATTTTGATCCCCCAAGATATAGCAATATTGCTCGTCTAATTTTCATTTGTTATTGTAATTCTGCTATCTCTATGTCCTAATTATTTCATCACAACACCCATACTCATGGGTCCAGACTAATTTGCTTGACTATAAAAATGCAATACACAAATCAAAATATGCTCAGCAAAACACGAAATTTATGCAAGGTAATTTTTTCCCATATCCAAACCCAACTTGAAATTAGTTACTCTCATAAGCACCCTTTAGAATTACTTTCCTTTGTGAGCTTCTTTAAGACCAAAAGAAATTATTTTTCTTCTTTTCAGTACCTCTTCACAGTTTCCAAAGAAAACCTAGGTGTTGTAGAAAGCTGTTGTCGATGACTATGAAAAGCAAGCCCATCAGCCAGCATTTTTCATTTGGCCAACTGCATAAACAGAACTGCAAAAACTAACTTCCTCCTGACTAAACTGTCAGAACCCGTGGTATACACCAACTCTTGTGGTGTATCAGCTGACTTCAGCAGAAGCCCCAGTCTCCTGCAGGCAGGAATTCTGAGGAAGCAGTCTTCTGTCCTTATTACTATCGTGACTACATATAATGCTTACTGTCAGAAAAAGGGAAAGAGTTCTTCCTCCACCATTTCAATTCTGCTGCCCATTTCTATGCAAGCCCCTCAGAAGCCCTTCTCTATTGCTTCCCTTACTCTTTCCCACCTTCTACCTCAGCCCCTCAGAATTCTCACCATGGCAAATGGGCAGAACAACCACTAGGGCACAGGATGGCAGTCCACACGTGGGAAGGAGGGGAGCAAACTGCTTCTGGGATCAGTCAGTTGATCAGCAATTCAGGATCCCATCAGGAAGGGAATGGTGAGAAGGAGACACTTTTTCCATCTAATACTAAAAAAAGAAAAAAAATTGAAGCTGTTATATCAGCATCTAAATCACTGCCATCAGCAAGTTAAAGAAATTTAACTGTCTGCTGAGCTTTCAAACATACTTCATAAGACTACCTTTTGCCCATTTGAAATTTCTTTCTCCCTTCCAAGTCTGGCCCTAACACTTACTTAAAACTGATTTTATCCATATCTTCCTAATTATTGGCTCTCTCCAATTCATTCTGCACACTGCAACCCCAGAAATCTTTGGAAGACAGATCAAATCACTCCCCTACTTAATGACTTTTCAGCAGCTTCTCATCACTCTTAGGATAAGTCCCGAATCTTGCCTTAACATCACCTACTAGGCCCTGAATTCTCTGGCCCCTGCCTTCCTCTCTAGCATAAAGGTGGGCCTACTCTCCCTCTTAGTCACCAAGCTCCACCCCACTGGCCACCTTTCATCCCTTGAGTTCCCAAAGTTTCTTTTCCCCTGACAGCTTTTGCACATACAACCATCTCCACTGGAATGCTTTCATGGACTTTGCCATTCATCCTTCAGATCTCAGTTTAAATGTCCCTTTGTCAGATAAGATCAGGGCTCCCTGTTGTAGTGCTCCAAATAGCCCATATTAATTACATCGAGGGCACTGACAAATGAGGTTAGTAATCATGGAGAACAGCAGAAGTCTAAAGGGACTGTGGATGATCTAATGTTGTTTTGCTTTTCAAAATGGAGAAGTAGGTATATTCTAGTAATCATGATACCAAAGGCACGCAAGTTAGAACTCTGACTATTAAAAGGATACCAAAGGCATGCAAGCTAGAACTCTGACTGTTAAAAGGATGGGGTATTTTAGTACAGTGGAAGAGAAGAGGCAATCTCTAGGAATCACAATGAATTCACTGAGATATAGTTTGGCCTTTAAGATTCTGAGAAAATGATTTCTAATTCAGAATTCTACATCGTCTCAAGCTACATGGGGAAGATAGACAGAGACTAGAGACAGAGAAGATGGTATGGCATAAGAAGAGTAAATCTTTATCTTCCATAATGAGTCATTAAGTCAAAAT